ATAACAAGTCAAAGATAAGGATATATTTTTTTACAATAAATGTTCAATATGGCAACCTCCTTCGTTCATGCAGATTTCAATTCAGCGCAAGAAATTGAAGTGTACCCTTCTAAAATGCCTAGATCATTTTACATAGAGTTCACAACTTTTTGAATCCTACCCCATAATTGTTCAAAGTCATTTTTCAAGTGACCCCAGATAAAATAATCACAAAGATAACAGTCCGGTGATCGAGGTGGCCACTGAGTGGGTGCATCCTGACCTTTGCCAGTCCATCTGTTGTTTAAATAATCTCTCACAATGCGAGAAAAATAAGGTGGTGCACCATCGTGCATGAAAAACATGTCACTGCTTAAATTAAGCGGTAAGTCTTCTAACAGTTGGGGCAAATCTTGACTTAGAAAATGCAAGTTACTGTCACAGTTAAGACGATCTGTCAATCCAAATCAAGTAATGTGGTGAAAATATCCCTTTGTAGACACAGATTTAAAAGAAAATTAAATAGTTTTGGCTATACTGGCCGAGGCGTTACCCCATGTCCCCCCCCCCATGTCCCAGTGAAATTTCAGAGTCACTGTATACAAATAACTAAAAATTAGTCTAATCTGATTCTTATCAACCGTGTCTTTGGTTCAGGATATCCTGTAATCTGCCCTGTGAAAGTGCGTGAGGAAAAATAGCTTTCGTGACTATTTATGCAAGGATATCTGTTAATTAATTTCTGTTTCAACATATATTTTTAGACGAGCTAATTTAATTTAAATTTGTTATTCCAATGAACACTACATTATTAATTAAGTTCATGGTGATCCCTAAATGTCATTCCCTTTTAATGTTATGGAATACTCGTAGCATAAAATTCCTGGTTATATAACACGCAAGGAACCAGAAGTGTAATTAAGCATTTAAGTATAAGAAGAAAAATACACTGGACCTGTTTCATAATGAATTAAAAGCTAATACTATTAGTATTTTAACTTGTCTCTTGTAATTTTCTATTTCATAATAAAAAAAAATACAAATGTACAAATTACTACTTGTAAAATAATAAATACAAGTAAATATTACTAGGTTCTGTTTCATAATACGTGATATTATGTATTTTTGAAAAATTATAGTATTTAATGTAATACAAGTTACAAAAGATTATTAACCCATATTTTTCAAAGTACTAGTCGGGTTGATTGGTTTTTGACTTATTTTTGGTAACAAAAGTGTTATGCTATTATGGGAAATTTACTTTTTGACTCATCTAGTGATGAAGAAGAGTCCTTAGATGTTCAGCGACACAGAAAAATTTATAGGGTCCGCATAAATTTTAGTTTTGAATATGTTGAACGATTTAGTATGTCGTCCGATAAATTAGAGAGTTTGTTGCAATAAATAGGACCTTTACTCAGAAATCAGTCACGAGAAGGTGGAGTTCTTTCTCCTAAGTAACAAATCTGCATAGCTTTACATTGGTTTGGCAGTGGTAGTGGTATCACACAACCGCAGATGTGCATATAGCATTAGAAAATCAAGCGTTCACCATTGTGTGAAAGCTGTTGTTAGAGCTGTCAATCAACGGTTATTTCACACAGTTATTGGCCACAAAACATAGCAGCTGTCTTTAAAAGATTTTTTACAATTGCTAACTTTCCGCAAGTATGTGGAGTCATAGATGGTTCCCTTATCCCTATCGATGCTCCTTCTGAAAATGAACCTGCATTTATACGGTAACCAATTAATAAACAGCATGTTTTTTTGTGCCCATCATTAAAATTTTACTATGTGAGTGCAAGGTGGCCAGGAAGTGTTCACGATGCTCGAGTTCTTCGAATAAGTACACTTAATTAAAGAATGGAAGAAGGTAATATATTTCCCAACACAGTACTACTTGGAGATTCTGGATATCATCTAAAACGTTGGCTTATGACACAACTGCATCATGATCCTAACAACGACGCTGAAAGAAGGTATAAACGTCGATTAAAGGCAACAAGACAAACTATAGAACGTTCGTTGGGAATATTTCCTTGTTTGCTTCATCTTCGTTTGAATCCGGTATGTGCTGTAGAAGTTGTAAAATTCTGCTCTACTCGTTGCAATTTTGCAAGAAATAGCGAGGAAGATGATAAAGTTAATCCTGTAGATGAAGAAGAAAAAGTGAACTTTTCTTTAGACAACATTGAAAACGAGGCAGATGGGCAGCCGTTTCCAACGGCAATTATGTGCACATAATTAAATATATACAAAACTAATTTGATAGTCTTTGAAGGTGTAGAGGATATGATATTTTAAACCCGTTTGGCTATCTAATATTTTTTATTATGATTTTAAATTCTCAAACTACCCAACTCAAACTTACCGTAGTTAATTTTCGAACATTCGGCCACCAAACATCTCTTAAATAAGTCCAATCTTTGTTGGAAGGAATTTAATCAATAAATTTGGCGAAAAGATTTAATTCTTTCCATGCTACAATTTTATTATTTTTATTGAGTTTGTCACTCAAAGCACTAAAACAATATATTATTCTTTCCTTTCATTTTACTTAGTACAAAAAGTTTTAATTTTTGCTTATCAGCTCTTTTTCCCCATTGTCAATTATGATCTACTTTTAACAAAAAAGGTCGAAAAATACAGCAACTATCTGTTATAAGTTTATAACCTCACTTTTAGAATGTCAGATTACTTGTAGATTTGTAAACTTTTACTTGTAGAAACTTACTAATAATATTAGTAAAGCCATTTTCATTATGAAACAAAAATTACTAGAGCTTGTAATTAGTAACTTGTAATTTTTATTTTTTTACTAATAATATTACTATCATTATGAAACAGGCCACTGGAATCTTAAAATAGTATATTAAAATACAAGTTGCAGAAGGCCACATATTCCCGCACGAATTCGACATTTGGCCACGATCGACGAAAGAGCTAGCGAACGAACGAATGAGTGCGAGCATAGCCTTCTGCAACGTATTATTTTTGTGGTCGTTATTAGTTGGGGACTTTTTTCGCAAAATATGTCAGTTGGTAACACTTAGTTAATTACTAACCAACTGTTAGGTGGAATTAATTAGGAATTCCAAACAAATGAAACGCGGTGATAAGGTTTGGTATGTCTAAAGGGTTGCGACATACGATATAGTCTATCTGCAATACGTGAAATCATAAATAATGGATTAAATTTAAATCTTTTATGTCGAACACAATAAATATATTATATTAAAAAAAATCGTTTATACATTTTCTCTAAATTGGCAGGCTTGGGACTACTAAGTAGGTACTATTTTTATGTAAGGGTGCGAGTGGGATGTTAAAAAGAGTGTAAATTAAAGGGCGCTTTTATAGTGGAAAATAGTTGGGTTACAATTTTCTTAAAAATCAGGATTTCAATTTTTTCATGACGAAAGTAATTTTCTTTGTCTATATAATTTTTTTAAGAGGGTGGTAGAGGCCTTAAAACGAAGGTATTTCTAAAATTTAGAAAAAAATAACCAGTGTATATGCTTAAACACAGCTTTTAATGGTTATAGCTAATTAAAATTTTACATTTAATTTTAATTTTATTTTTAGCTATTGGGGGCTGGTAGTGGGCTTAAAATATCGTCGGCTGAATGCAAAAACTAGGTAACTTTTTTTTGTTGTTTCGAGAAAATCAATAAAGTATTATTGGTGACGTATTAGAATACGTCTGGAGAAAGCTTATTTAAAAAAAATTGAATAATACTTTATTGATTTTTTCGAAACAAAAAAAAAGTTATCTAGTTTTTGTATTCAGCCGACGAAATAATTCTAAAATTATGAAAAAAATTACAAGTTGTTTTTAAATGAAACGCAGCTTTTAAATGCTATAGCAAATTAAAATTTTAACTTTCAGTTTTTCGGTCTTAGAACATACAGTATGGTTCAAATGAAAGGAATAAATTCATTATTATGGAAGTAGTTGGTTTTTCGAAAAAATGCTCAGACAGGTCAATTTTGTTAACTTAAAGCGCAATTTTTTAAATAAAATTCAATTTTCCCCCACTTCCTATTTTTGGACAGTGACGTCATTGACAATTTTTTAAATAGCAACCCCAATTTTTTTTCTTGATTTTGATAGATCTTTCAATTTCCTACTCGGAAACATAATATTTGAAATATCTGACATAACAATTTTTTTTGAAAAAAATTCATTTTAAGATCAGATACATAAATTTTATTTTATTTTGAAACACAATAAATGAATAAAAGATAATTATTTGTAATTAAAAAGAATTTAATGACAATTTCACAAATTCATTTTATTATTATTATTTTTATTATTATTTTGTTAGATTAAGCATTTAATTACAAATAATTATCTTTTATTTATTTATTGTGTTCTCAAAATAAAATAAAATGTATGTGTCTGATCTTTAAATGTCTTCTATTCAAAAAAAATGTTATGTAAGATATTTCAAATATTATGTTTCCGAGTAGGAAATTGCAAGATCTATCAAAATCAAGAAAAAAAAATTGAGGTTACTATTTAAAAAAATTGTCAATGACGTCACTGCCCAAAAATGGGAAGTGGGGAAAAATTGAATTCTATTTAAAAAATTGCGCTTTGAGTAAACAAAATTGACCTGTCCGAGCATTTTTTCGAAAAACCAGCTACTTCCATTATATTGAATTTATTCCTGTCATTTGAACCAAACTGTATATAGTCAGGAAGGAGCATGCCATATCCGCGTTAATCTAATCGATCTGACGGAAGTGGTAATCATCGCGATTCCAAGGTCGTTTAGAATTCCTCCTTCCTGACTATATATATTCTAAGTTTTCGGCCCATTCTACTGTATATCCTCATGAGAATCTACGGTTTGAGAGAAACCATAGGCGGGCGGTTGTAAACTCTACCAAAAATTAAATGTATTTTTGTCAGTAATGGGAACATTTTATGGACGTCATCAAATGACAAATCAAATCACAGAAATGACATATAAAAGCTCAATTTTTAGTTAAATAATATTCCATTTTTGTTTCAGGAAGTACTAAAGACGCCTACCTAAGTCTTGTAATGAGTATAAGAGATAGACCAATGTATCTTGCAACAAGATTGCATGACGCCATGGCTGGTATGGGTACAGATGACAGAACTTTAATAAGAATTATTGTTTCTAGATCTGAAATTGATCTGGCAGAAATTAAAGAAGCTTATGAAGCCAAATATTCCAAGAGCTTGTACGAAAGAGTATCGGTAAGATATCATTATTATGATGGTTATAGTTTCTCACACAATTTTTTTTTTCTTTATTTTATTGAAATTGACAACTTTTCTTCTGTTGTAACTAATAATTATTATTTTTTTTTCATATAGTCACTAATGCAATGTTAGATTAAATTTAATTCTAAATATTTAACCTAGAGTAGTATTTTATACAAGGCAGCTTTAAGTCCATTTCATGATTTTTTTGATTTTCTTAGATAACGGGTTATATTAACTTGTTTAACTTGTCCAAAATTGTTGTTTATGAGCATACTAGTATTTGCAGATTTTTTATATTTTAAAATTTAATGCATTTACTTTTATTTTTATTTTTAGGGCGACTGTTCTGGAAAATACGAAAAAACACTTTTGAAATTAATTGGTTAAGAAAAACGAATTTTAAGAGCATTAAATTATTAAGTTGATAGATGATAATTCATATATTTTCTAAAAATATACATAGATCTTCGATAAAACTATATTTTAATACATAGTGAACATTTAAAAAATATTTAATATATTAGGTATAGATAAAGCATCTGTAAAAATAGTATATTTTTTCTTATATATTAAACAATTGTGTATTTTTTTCGTATTAAATCGTTTAATGGGGAATATCATTTTATTAAACAACAGAAAAAGCACTTTTCATATTTTTAAAATTGTATTTTATATAATTTTAAAGAGAATAATTTTTAAATAGCAAAAAATATAAATCCCTGAAATAGCGTACGGCCATTTAACATTTTAAAGTAATAACTAGAACAAAAAAAGTTAAACTTGTCTCTAATAATTAATATAATGTTTTATTTGTGTTTTCCTGTCTGGCATACTATTATAGTGTAAAGGGCATGCCTTTACATCTACCTCGAAACAGGCATAAACCTTTGCCGTTATGTTTCTTTCAATATTTAACTGTGGCAGTCTAGAGTCAGAAAAATTAAGTACTGTCATTACCGACTGTACCTCTAGCCATAAACAAACCAAGGCAACGTGGCAACGAGTAAAAACATCAAGTCTACGCGCTATAAGTGAGGTGAAATATTTTAACACTCGTATTCCATTTTAACCTATAAGACCAGATTTTTAATTATTTTATTGCACTAGTCATTATCAAGATTTACTTTCTTTTTCAAATTTGATCACATTTAATGCTTAAACTTTCGATAATATCGGCCTTTTGGACCATAAAGTTCTGTCTGGGATAAGCTGCAAGGATGCAGCTACGATCCACCTGAAAGTAGCTATAATAGACAAGGATAACCCTTACGGTAAGATAACTACTGAAAGAGAAATCCTTGTCAAAAAGACATTGATGGGAGAGCTGAACAAAACAATTTTGTCCGCCTCCTGCAGCAAAACCAAGCCACCCACCTTCAGGTCTTGGATACACTCTGATGAAATCATCAGAGTAACGTGCGACGATGACCTGACGTTGGAATGGCTAAAAACCAAGGTACCAACCTTAAAAACACGGGAAGGAGCAACAATCGCTGTTGTAAGGATGGACGAGCTCCCCCAGCTCACCAAAGCCTCTTTCTGGTTCCCAGGGGAAGCGCAAGTTGACTTTGAGAAGAAGGAGGTTGTGATCAGGCGACTTGAGGGGAAAAATCCAAACTTACATGTTGCAAAATGATGCTGGTCTTAAAAATCTAAATGGTTCAATTTTTAGCAACCAACAACCTAGGACAGCCATTTACATTCCTTGGAAATGCAAAGCCCACTCAATAGCGCATTTTTCTACCACCTGTCCCCTGAGGCTGGTCCAACACGATCAGACGACTACCGCATGGTGGTGGCACGAGTTGGATTACCTCAGGAAGGTGGCAAGGAAATCCTTTAATAAGACAAGAACCACAAAACTCAAAGAGGGCTGGGCTACTTACAAATCTCACCTCAGAGAATACAAAACAATCGTCAGACAAAAACAAAGAGATGCATGGAGATCATACTGCGAAGAAATCTAAGATTTCCCGCAGGCAGCGAGGCTTCAAAAAGCTCTCTCAAAAGATCCACACCGAAGCATTGGTGCGCTAATTAAAGAGGATGGCACGAAAACTGCCAACCTCGAAGATAGCACAAAACTTCTGCTGTCAACACACTTCCCTGACTCGGTCATCACAGACGTGGTGCAACGACCATTCAATCCTAAGAAGACAGAAATGGTCCTTTTCACAAGGAAATACTACTAGAATAAATTAAAAGAACAGCATGTCTCAACATAACAGGAGCCATGAAAACAACACCGACCAGGGCCATAGAAGTCATTCTTATTCTCACTACCCTTGATATTTATATAGGAGGTTGCTCTGACGACAATGATACGCCTCCGCACGGTTGGAATAGAACCTGATGTAGAATCTGGTGAGGCGAGACGTCGCTTTTGGCAAGAGGCGTTCGATACGCTCCCACTGCTTCAAGCGAACATGGACTCCATCTCACCGAGATATATCTTTCATGAGTCATATAAAGTTATAACAGAACAAATAGAAGAGCCAGAAGTGGCAGATACGACTCATATCTACACCGACGGTTCTAAAACAAAACAAGGCTCAGGATGTGGAATATACTCCAGATTCTTAAATCTAAACATAAAATGGGCTGTGAGCAATAGTGCCAGTGTAGTTTAAACAGAACTAACGGAAATTCTCATAGCAGCAAAAGAAATAACCAGAAACAATATCACTGGAAGGAACAGACCACGCATTTATTGAGGGTTAGTACTAGAATGTCACGAAGCTTTGGCCGAAGTATCCATCAACAATGTGGTCACCTTAAGATGGATCAAAGGTCACGCCACATCGAAAGGTAACCGTCTTGCTGATTCACTAGCCAAGAAAGCAGCCAACCAAATACTTTTTGGACCTGGCCCTTCTATTAGCCTGACAAAATCGGTAGTGACAGGCCTAATTAAAGAACATTCCCTTGTGAAATTCAAGGAAAGATGAGATGAAACAAAAAACTGCAGAATTGCTAGGGAGCTCTTAAGTTATCCTGACAACACTGCAGCAAACAAATACTTGACTATGACTAGACAGAATCTGTGCCTAGTCACAGGCATTCTGACTGGTCATTGCCAAGTACGGAAGCATCTCCATATCATGGGGCTGTCAGAATCCGCACACTGCAGAGGGTGCGAACAAGAAGCTGAAACCACTGAGCATATCCTTTACGATTGCTCGACGCTCTCATTTATTAGAAGATTTGTGTTCGGCGAGTATTGGCTAACACCGGCCGATATAAGAGAAGCACCTCTTGGCGACGTTGTCAACTAAATTAAATCTGTAGGCTGGCTCACAAGCTAGGAGGTGCCTATTATCTTAGGAGATCGCACAATGGGCCTAATGAAGCCTAAGTGCCGTAAGGGTAACCCACCCTCCACATGTTACAGATATCGGCCTTTTCAAACATATCCTTTAATTAAGTGTAAGGGTTAAGAAAAGGTCCTTTATTTCTCACAAGTCAATTTAATTGGCGACCGGTATCCTTAAAAATTTTTAAACTGTTTGTGCTTGTAATACTATTTTGTGTTGTTTAGTTAATAATTGTCTTAAATGTGTTTTAATTAATTATTTTATTCAAACAGACATCTGGTGGTTTAACCTAACCTACATTAAATTTTTTTAAAAAATACTTATTACACATGACTTTTTTAACTCGTTCTGTTAAAATTTTTGTAGCGCTTCCTTTATGGAATTAGTCAAGGTGTGCCTGATGATGAAGTGACAACTTCGAAACCGGTCGCCAATTAAATTGACTTGTGAGAAATAAAGGACCTTTTCTTAACCCTTACACTTAATCCCTACTACTCACATATGGCTACCCTCACTCCAAATATCCTTTAATTTATTAGATCGTTCTGGGAATAGATAAATGTTTTGGCAAATATATATGCAGACTTAGGAAAATACAAGGCATAAATTTGTTTTAAGCTTGGCTTTTACACGAATTTTTATTAAATTTCCATCGGGTTGCAAATAATTATTATCCCGTATAATTTCACTATCAGACAGGTTTTTAAAGGAATAAAGTTAGCCATAGGAATTTGATTTAACCTTTTTTTATCTTAAATTACCGTCCTTCGGAAATTGTAAAACGAATATTAACATTCCACCCTATTCTTGTTTTAAAACACTTTTAAATTTTATTTAGACCTCATAACGGGTCAACTAATGGTCCAAAAGACACTTGTTAACACTTAATTATAAATTGGATGAAAAACATCACAAGAAGATATCCAACGCTAAAATTACAGGTATAACAACAGAAACCACTATATTTTGGTAAGATTATACAGTGTATCACAAAAAAAAATCATGTTAATACACACTTAGCAATTAATTAATTAAAAACTGGTTTTAATTTGACTTAATCTAAATGTTTTTCGAAAAAAAATCGCCGGTAAAACAACACGCTATGCTTCAAAAGTGTACTAAACGTCAGTGAAATGTACCGAAAATAGACTTAATCGCCACGTTGCTAGATTTATCTTTCTAGGCTAGAAAGTAGAGTCGGTAAATAGTACTGTATACAAAAGGCTAGGTATTATTTTTAAATATTATTTCAAAAAGATAAATATGCGTTAAGCCTTGTAACAAAACTGATTTAAAAAATATTTAATTTACCACATTTTACTTAAGATTAAAATGTCAATAATCAATTAAATTATTTTGTTAGTTTGCGGGTTATATTTACTTGTTCAACTTTTCCAAAATTGTGTTTGATGAGCAGATTTTTTAATTTTCAAAATTTATTTTTATTTTTATTTTTAGGATGACTGTTCCGGAAAATTGGGAAAGACTCTTTTGAACTTAATTGATTAAGGAAAATGAGTTTTAAGAGTATTAAATTATTATAAGTAGCTGTACTTAAAGATCATAATCATAATTCATATATTTTCTAAAAATATACATAGATCTTCGAAAAACTATATTTAAATAATATAGTAAACGTTAAAAAAATATTTATTAAGTATAATATATTAGGTATCTATATAGTATCTGTAAATATAGTATATTTTTTTCTCTATATTAAACCATTGTCATTTTTCTTTTGCATGATTATATATATTTTTTTTATTTACACTCTTGATGAGAAATATCCTTTTATAAAACAACAAAAAAAAAATGTTTTATAAATTTCTTATCAAATTTTGTTCCTCATAACACTCTGAAATTTTGATATTTTATTTAATTATGACTATGCCAGACAGGAAAATAAGTATTGTACCTATACAAAAACAAGATACTATTTTTTTTAATTTTTTGAAATAGATAAAAATACATTATACCTTTCCACAAAACCAATTTAAAAAATATTCTGTTTAACACATTTAACGTAAGATTGAAATGTCAAGCCTCAAATAATACCTTCAATTTAATTTTCTTTCCGAAGAAAAAAGGTCATCAAATTATCAGTAGCTCTGTTATTACTTTTATGGGATATTTCTTGTTAAGAATTATTAATTTTAATTTTTTTTGTGTATTCTATTTTCCAAACATCTTCTAAATTTTATTTTTATCTTCTATGTGTGCAATTTGATACAAATAACTATTTTGTAATAATCTTTTTTTCAGAGTGATGAATCTTCAAACATCAAAAAAATTTTGCTTGCATTGATCGAATAAAAAAAGACGAAAATTTGAGAGCTTTGATATTGCACTAATTGCTAATGAGCTGTGTTTCTATCGTAGACTGCACCGTGAAAGACAAAATTGTTATTGATATTGTAGTTTATTTAAATTATTTATGTATACTTAGTGCATAGTTGGAGATGTCGCTTATATATTTTATGAATTGTACTTCTTAGATCTTTAAGCAAATAAATTATTTTTGGAATCGTTTGTTTCATTCATGGAGGTGGGAAGGGATGAAGAAGTCATACAGGTTTATAGTCATACTAAGTATATCTGTATCTGTAACGTGTGGAGGGTGGGTTACACCACTGCACTTAGGCCTCATTAAACCCATTGTACATCCTCCTGAGATGATAGGCACCTCCTAGCTCGTGAGCCAGCCTACAGATTTAATGTAGTAGACAACGTCGCCAAAAGGTGCTTCTCTTAGTGTTAGCCGATATACGCCGAACACAAATCTTCTAATAAATGAGAGCGTCGAGCAATCGTAAAGGATATGCTTGATGGTATTATCTTCTTGTTCGCACCCTCTGCAGAGTGCGGATTCTGACAGCCCCATGATATGGATATGCTTTCGTACTTGGCAATGACCAGTCAGAATGCCTGTGACTAGGCGCAGATTTTGTCTAGTCATAGTCAAGTATTTGTTTGCTGCAGTGTTGTCAGGATAATTTAAGAGCTCCCTTGCAACTCTGCAGTTTCTTGTTTCATCCCATCTTTCCTTATATTTCAGAAGGGAATGTTCTTTGATTAGGTCTGTCACTACCGATTTTGTCAGGCCAATAGAAGGGCCAGGCAAGTATATGGTTGGCTACTTTCTTGGCTAGTGAATCAGCAAGACGGTTACCTTTCGATGTGGCATGACCTTTAATCCATCTTAATGTGACCACATTGTTGATAAATACTTCGGCCAAAGCTTCGTGACATTCTAGTACTAACCCTGAATAAATTCGTAATCTGTTCATGGTGAGTAGTGCTTCTCTGCTATCTGCATAGATGAGCATGTTCCTTCCAGTGATATTGTTTCTGGTTATTTATTTTGCTGCTATGAGAATCCCCGTTAGCTCTGTTTGAACTACACTGACACTATTGCTTACAGCCCATTTTATGTTTAGGTTTATAAATCCACATCCTGAGCCTTGTTTTGTTTTAGAACCGTCGGTGTAGATATGAATCGTACCTGCCACTTCCGGCTCTTCTATTTGTTCTATTATAACTCTATATCGCTTATGAAAGATACATTTCGGTGAGATGGAGTCCATGTTCGCTTGAAGCAGTGGGAGCGTATCGAACGCCTCGAGTCAAAAGTGACGTCTCGCCTCACCAGATCC